AAGGAGTGTGGTGGAGTCTCCTTCTTTGGAGGTCTTTAAGCAGAGGCTTGACAACCATATGTCAGGAGTGCTCTGATGGTGTTTCCTGCTTGGCAGGGGGTTGGACTCGATGGCCCTTGTGGTCTCTTCCAACTCTATGATTCTATGATTCTATGATCTAGTCCCCATGGTTACAGGAGGGCACTTTGAAACATGATCGCTATGGTGGTAAACTCTGGAAGTAAGAATAACTGGAACTACAAGAGAAGACTGTATTCCTAATCCAGATTCTCCCCTGACCCCCATTCATATCAACACAGACCCTGGGCTGGATCAATGCCACACAGTGAAGTTGATATGTAAACAGAGAAGGCTGATACTCAGTGCTGCTTGCCATTATTTGCCTAAACAATTCAGCCAATGTTGAAGTGAGTTCTAACAGGCAAAACTGATTTTCGTTTTTGGCAAGAAAGACACAGTTTAGTTGAGACCCAGTTTTGTTTCCCTCCACAGGAATATCATTGTGTGTGTGTGTCCTTCCCTTGGGTTTTTGTTTTTTTTTAAAAAGCATGACCTCCTCCTTTGCTTTGAAGAACAGCCATTGAATTAAGCACCACACCCAACCTGATTTCCAAAACAGCCACCTGTGTGTATTGCAAAACTGGAAAAAAAAAACATTTGCTCAAACTTACAAAGGCCTACTTTTGGGGAAAGGTGCAAAAAGAACTCCACTGTTAACTAGTCTGGATCAATCAGGGCTGGGAAATTATGACTATGTGCTTAAGGGCAGAACATGTTGGGCTTTGTTTATTTTTTGATAACTGGGAATTCCCTGGCAAAATACCCACAGCTACTTTTTAGTTTTTATATGTTACGAAGAATAAACCCTCCCCAGGGCCTTCTCAGTAGTGGTACCTGCCCTGTGGAACGCCCTCCCAGCAGATGTCAAGGCAATAAACAAACTATTTTACTTTTAAAACACAACTGAAGGCGGCCCTGTTTAGAAGTTTTTAATATCTGATGCTATATTGTTTTAATATTTGGTTGGAAGCGGCCCAGAGTGGCTGGGGAAACCCAGCCAGATGGGCACGGTATAAATAATAAATTATTATTAGGAGTTATTATAGTTTAAGAGGAAAATGAACTCCATTAGGCCCAATTGTTATGTAGTTTCACTGCATTTTTTCACAGGAGATTCATGGATCCCTTCTCACTTTAGCACCTTCATAGCAGGGCAGAATGTTTCTGAACTCCAGCAACTATTCCTGTGGGTGGGCATAGGCCAGCGGGCTGCATTAGGTAACCATTTCAGTGGTGTATTTATGCTTCAAGTCTAGTACCATGGAAACAATGCATTCACCCACCTATTAAAAGCAAATGATCTTGACATTATTAACCTTCCAAACGGCAGAGAACTGATCTTCTGGGGGGTGGGGCAGGGCGGGATCTTCTGGCAGACACAGCAATTGTGAATCACTCTTTCTAGAGGGAAATTATTTCCAGCCTGAACATACCAAGCTAGCAGAAACCCCAAAGGTAAACCCTGTTAGGTAACAGGACTACCCAGCAGCAGCAGTAGTAAGCTTAGAGATGCTTGAAACATAGGAAGAAAATGTGGGCGGTTCAGGAGCAAATACGTTTGTGATGCTAAAGGATGCATAGCAAGGTTAGCTGAACTACAAAGCTTCCTTCCAAAGAGGAATTCTGCTGAGAATAGGGGCATTTTAGATCCTGTCCCATTCTTAGAGGTATGCATGGATTTGAGAAGAATACTGTGGCCCTGCAGGTGCTGTTGGATTCAACTTCTGTCACCCCATGTCCATGTAGTCAATGGTCAGGAATGATGGGAGAGCTGGGAGTTCCATCATTTGGAGGGCTAGATTCCCCATTACTGACCTAGACCACAAGTAGAGGGGTCTGTGCTGAGGGATGGGGAAACTTAGGTCCTCTAACTGTTCTTTATTTTCTAGATTCATTTCAATCAGGGCTTCCAACTTGGAACTACCCCAAGCGCCCTACATAACCTGTCGGGAGAGAGACGGGGCAATGTATCTGTTAATCCTTCTTGACCTCTTGGCGACTTTCAATACCAATAAACCACTGCATCCTCCTGGAAAGGCTTTCTGAGTTGTGGGTGGGCAACACTGCTTTACAGTGGTCCCAGTCCTACTTGGATGGTTGTCTTCATCAGCTGATGCTTGGGGAGTGTTTTTCGGCACCATGGGGCCTTCAATGTGGGGTCCCTCGGGGCAGTTCTATCCCCCATGTTGTTTAATATCTATATGAGGCGGCTGTGTGGAGTCTTCCAGTTTTGGAGTGTGCTGCCAGCAGTATGCTAATGACCCACAGCTCTATTTCACCTTTACATCTGAAGGAGAGGCAGTAGGTGGACTAGACTGGTGCCTTGCCTAGGTAATGGACTGGTTGGGAGCCAACAAACTGAAGCTCAAGCCAGATAAGATACTGTTGATGGGTGGTCCCCTAGACCAAATGGATGGGAGTCTGCCTGCTCTTGAGGGGATTACACACCCTCTTAAGGAGAAGGGATGTATCTTGGGGATGCTCCTGGATCTATTGGTGTTGCTTGAAACCCAGGTGGTCTTTTATCAGCTTTGGCTGGTGGCCTAGCTATGCTCATATCTGGACAGGGATGAACTAGGTTGAATTACTGCAATGCGTTATACGTGGGCCTCTGAAGATGGCTCAGAAACCTCAGCTACTACAAAATTCAATGGCCAGACTGCTCACCAGAACAAGACTGTTTGAGCATATAACGCCCAACTGCACTAGCTGCCAATTTGTTTCCCAGCCCACTTCAAAGTGCTGGTGTTGAACTATAAAGCCGTACATGGTTCAGGACCTCAATACCTTGGGACTGCCTCTCCCTAGATGAACAGACCGCACTTGTCATCCATGGCCCTCTTCTGCTTCCTTAAAGGTTCAGAGGGTGGCAACACAAGAGCAGGCCTTTTCTGTAGCGGCTCCCCATGTGTGGAATGCTCTCCTCAGAGAGGCTCACCAGGCACCGTCATTACATGTCTTTAGGCACCAGGCAAGAACATTCCTCTTTACCCAGGTCTTCAGCCATTAAGTAATCGATGGCCTGTTAAAGGGATCTGTTATTAAGATTATTTTATTATGGCATTATTATGCTTTGTATTGTTATTATTATGCTCTGTAAAATGTTGTCCATGGCCATGGGATCTTTTGATATAAACTGGTATATAAACCGAAATAATAATAATAGTAATAATAATAATGGTAACAATTACCATCAGCCCCAGCTAGCGACGTGGGTGGCGCTGTGGGTAAAAGCCTCAGCGCCTAGGGCTTGCCGATCGAAAGGTTGGCGGTTCGAATCCCCGCGGCTGGGTGCGCTCCCATTGCTCGGTCCCAGCGCCTGCCAACCTAGCAGTTCGAAAGCACCTCCGGGTGCAAGTAGATAAATAGGGACCGCTTTCTAGCGGGAAGGTTAACGGCGTTTCTGTGTGCTGTGCTGGCTCGCCAGAGTAGTGATGTCACGCTGGCCACGTGACCCGGAAGTGTCTCCGGACAGCGCTGGCCCCCGGCCTCTTGAGTGAGATGGGCGCACAACCCCCGAGTCTGTCAAGACTGGCCCGTACGGGCAGGGGTACCTTTACCTTTACCAGCTAGCACAGCCAATGGCCAGGGATATGATGAGTTGTATTCCAGCACAGGTTTCCCTCTCTGGCATTAGAAGCATGAAATGCTTGATTTTCCTCAGGATTCCCTTGAAACGGAGCACAGGGAATTGGCTTTTGTCAACTTTGGCCAAGTGCAAATTAGCAGAACAGAGTCCAATGAAACATCTAGAACTGTGTTTAAATAGTTAAGTGAAGGGTCTGGTTATAAAAACCCTTCCCTCTACTTTTGACAGAGATTTCCTGTTATGTGAAATAAGTTGCTTCAGAAATTGCCCGATCTACCCTAACCAGGAAGCACCCACCTTTGACACAAACACTGCACCACTAACTAGAAACAGAACTTTGCAGAAGGTGCAGATTTGCATATTTCCAGGGCAAAGCTTTGCATAGGGCCAGAGTGCACCACCAGCACATTCAAAGGCATTACAAAGTTGGTGTGGAGGATTGTGAAAATGGTTTCATACCTCTTGTCTTAAAGAGTCACAGCACTTAGAAGGGGAAGACTGCTTCTTATATAAATTCAGGACCCACCCTACTCCTATGACAGTAATCTGTTTTCAATTCTGAATTTTAAATTGTTGCAATCTGCCTTGAAATCTGCTAGTTAAAGGCGGGTGGTGGTAGTAGCAGTAATAAAATAATAATGTAAAATACAGCACTTAATTTCAAAGAGACTACTGCAATATTGCACTAATATACCGTATTTTTCGCTCTATAAAATGCACCAGACCACAAGACGCACCTAGTTTTTGGATGAGGAAAACAAGAAAAAAATATTCTGAATCTCAGAAGCCAGAACAGCAAGAGGAATCACTGCGCAGTGAAAGCAGCAATCCCTCTTGCTGTTCTGGCTTCTGGGATAGCTGTGCAGCCTGCATTCGCTCCATAAGACGCACACACATTTCCCCTTACTTTTTAGGAGGGAAAAAGTGAGTCTTATAGAGCAAAAAATACGGTAACTCTCACCTTTTTTTAACTACCGTTGAAAAATGCATATAGGCATAGATGTGCTAAGAGAGCTATGGATAAAGGCAGTGGAGTAGGGAAACTGAAGCACTCCTGATGCTGTTTGACTGCAACTCTCACCAGCACCTAGGGTTGTAAGCTTACCCACCACTGATACAGAGATACCAGTCATGGCAACCCCAGGGGCATAATCCAGGATCTTTTTCACAAGCCAGCCAGGGGTGCTCCCCTCCAGAGCCAGCTGCAAGATTGAGTGACAAGAAGGAAAGAAGAGAGGCAGCAAATGGCCAGGCCTTCTAGTAGAGTTTGGCCACAGAGAAGGCAGGATGCATACCAATATAGCTTCAATTGTTTCATGTTTCTGCCTTAACAGAAGGCACACACTGCAACCACCTGTGAATTGTTTTATTGGACAGTTTATGTAAACAAGAAAGTCTGACCATAGCACCATGTTGAGTCTATGCTTTGTTTTAGGTTTTCACATCTGCCACAATCTGGTCTAAACAAAGCTAACAGTACAGCGAAGACTAAACGCAATCTAGTCAAACTGCAAAAACAACTTAACCTCTTGCTCCTATACTGAACCCTTCTGCCTAATAAAGAGTTCAAGAAACTCCAAGTCTACAAGCCCCTCTCATATTCTCCCTCAAAGATTCAGATTTATTCCGTGCATAGGCCATAATGTCTTACATTGCTAACTCATTTGAGAAATTTTATTCTTAGAGACAAGTATGACATTCTTTTGTAAGTTTAGCTTAAAATAATTGGCTTTAAAGAAAGCAAGAATCAAAATAAAGGTTAAAAAAAAACTTAAGATTTGTGGAAATGCCTCCCCCTGGCAACCATGAAGAAAGAAAACATTTTAAAGAACAAAAAGAAAGGCGCTCAGCTGTACTTAGATGGTTGTTCAGTAAAGTCACCTGGCAGAACCAAGTTGTTATTGAAGTACATAGAAAGGCAGGCCCAGATTATGTGACATTTAGAGGGCTAAAGAATAAAGAGCTGCAAAACCTGAATCTAATTACATTAAAAAAAAACTCTTTTACAACCTTTCCCAAAGATAAATCTCTTTTAAGAGTATACACTTTGTACAGTTTCAGCTACAAATGTACATACATTTCTGCTGACTTCCCCGTGAAGGTTTATACATATTTACACTATTGCGCTCCATGTCTTGTGATAACTTGGGAGCTATGGCAGTGTACGCTTCCAAGGGGAGGGCAGAGAAGAACAGGAAACAAAAACTGAAGGGAGTACATAGAACAGGATCAGCCCTTGATGCAATGAGATGGGTTCAGATTTTGGAGTTTTCTCTCTCCACAGCAGACACAACACACACCTGTGCCAGCGAACAGATAAGGCATTTGCAGTGTTCACCTGAAGGTCCTTCATTTTGCTCACCGCACAAAGCATCTTGCACGTCACCCCTAACACGCCACTCTCTTCTCTGAAGGTGATAATTTAGATACCCCGCTTGGGCGTATGGTCACAGTTCTGTGCAAATAGAACACTACCGAGCACATCCATCAGTTCTTATAAGCCCAATGTGGCTGTGGGTTCATAGTCCAAGCCCAAGACTGTGCTCAGGTGGGCTTCAGTCCTCTTAGCTCCACCACTGGAGGAAGCGGAGTGCGTGTTCCTTGGCTTGAAGGATCTACTCCCAATTTGTAAAGACATCCTTGTTGATGACATTCTAAAACTGACAGTTCAGACCAAACTTTCCATGGGATTTCGAGGTGTTTCAATTCTCCCGTCAACTTTCAAAGAACGGCTCAGTTTTCTAGTCACAGTAGAACAGGATAGTCCAAGCTAGCTCCTCACTGGGAGCACTCCTTGACTCACCGGATCATGTAAGCCAAACCTGCTCCTATTCCAGCCACGCCTGCAAAAGCCATCAGAACGCTTCTGATGCTGCCTTCTACGTCCTCTACATGGAAGAAATTAACAAATCCCTCCTAGAAGAAAGAATTGCATTGTTAATTGCTTTTAAGCACTGGCAGCCATGTGCGTCTGACTGCTTCAAAGAGAATTCGCAGCAAGAATGGAAGGTAAAACCACGTACTGAGCAAAGTCCAACATCCAGCAATTCTGAGTCCAATCCACTCCCCATTTTCAACAACCGCAACCACGCACAAACAAACAATGTTCCCTTTGTGGGAAACCAATTTTAACGTAGCTCTTTTAAACATCTCATGACAGATATTCACTCTATTTATGGAGAGTTAACATAGGGAGGCAACCCTAAAATCTGATGGAGCATGCATTCACTTCCAGAAAGATCAGCTACAGGAAGGTATTGGGGTCTCCAGGTTTGGATTTTAACTGGGAAGAGTTACAAGGGAAAGGGGCAGCACAACAGCACCTACCATTCAGCTCCACCATGACTCACTTACCCAGGCATTATTGTTGAGGATCCATTCCCGCTTGTCTGTAACCAGAACCTCAGTGATGAGCTCTGCCAAACGACCGATGGCACTCTCCTGATTGATGCGCTTCAGATGTTTGGCAACAAAGGCACCAAAAGAGATGAGAGTCACAATTCGACCCCAGTTTGTTATGCCGTCACTGAAAAGGTGCTTTGCAACTTCTGACACAGTCTTCAGGTCATCCTCTTTCTTTATTTCAATTTTCCTAAGCATTCCTGAAGAGAGAAAAGATGGGAGTGAGCAATAAGGAACACAGGTGAAAATACTGAAAATCCCACATTTAAGTGTGCAAGAAGTTTTAACAATCAAAATCATTAACAAAGCAGTTTGGTTTTTTCCCCCTCCCCCACTCTTTGCTCTTTGTTTTTGGAAGGATGGAGGTTGTAGTACTTGGTTGAATGAGCAATGGATGGTGGGTGGGCACTGATGTTTAAAACTCGGGGTCAGAGCCTGAACAGATGGAATGTTGATAGGATAAGCTTGCTCAGAAGTCTTATTGGCAAGAGCTTCCCCCTCCCCAATGAGACAGGGAGTGAATGTGCTGTCCTAAGTGGGAGGCAATTATTACTTACTTTAATTCTGGGGCTATATGAGTTTTTATCTGGTCAGCTGTCTTTGTTGTACAAAGTGATTGGTTGGGATTTTGTAACTGTAGGCTTTTATTTTATTATTAATATACTGTATTGCATTTGATTTCTATTTTGTGCTGTTTTAAAATTCTGTTGCATTGTATTTGCTTCCCATGTTGTACATTGCTTTGAGATTCGTTTAAATGGTTTTCACTTCCCATTTTGATGTTCTACTGTTTTTTTATTTTGACTATCGCTTTATGAATTCATTTGAATACAAAGTGATTGTCTGAATAAAAATAAGTTCTAGCACTTCCTGAGAAGAACATGAAAATGTTCTAGAGCTGCTTTAGACGAAAATGTTCTAGAGCTGCTTTAGACTTGCAGATCAGCAGCTGCCTGTTTCAGAGTCCAATACTCAGACAAACTTAACACAACTCCTACATGCAGCCACTGATATCTGCAGCCCTAGACCAAAGCCCAGCTCTAGCGTCTAAGTAAGTGCTGCTTCAACTATTTTTAATACAAAACAAGGTATCCAACAGTCGCCATGCTTTGAGCTAGTGGTACAAGACTTGAATCCTGGCAGTTCAATTCTGTCCTTAAGGGTTAAGCAGCCTTCAACTATTAGCCACTGATACTTAAAAGAAACTTGAGGAAGCTGAAATCCAGAAGTCAACAAGGAAGTGACTATAGCTAGTTCATTTTCATGATTCAGGAACAGGGATGCTTGCATCCGCATTTAGGAGTTGCCCCAAACCAGAGTCATTATTGTACTGTGGAGAGGCAATGATTCGGAAGGCTTAAAGCAAACCATTTAACGTAAGTCTAATGAAATTTGTTCTTATACACTAGATGAGTGAGCCAAGTCCTAACCCAGAAAACAAACAATACCTCTGTGGGAAGTCTGCCATTGTGACTTCTGTATATGCAGGATGTAAGGAATGTTCTACAGGATATCTCACAAATAGCTACTGTCAAAAGTTTTTCTTGCCCATCCACATTACAAAAACCTGAGCAGCTCAGCCACAAGGGTAGCTGGGAGGGGATAGACAACTGGAGGACACTGACTTAGAGGTGGCAAACCATAGAGGCTCTCTAGGAGTGTTCAAATTACTGGAGGTTATTTTAAGGCTACTTCCCAACTCTACATAGTCAGTGCCCTAGCTAATGTAATATACTAAAATAAAGTCAAATGAGAATGGCAAAGTGCTGGTAAATAGCAAACCTGCTCCAAAGCAACTCAGGAGGAAGTTAGTTGTTCACAGCAGGAACCAGCTAATCTTTTATCACCATGTTTACAATGAATTATATTTCACTTGCTAGGCAGGAGCAGGATGTCAGCAAGAGCTAATCTGTACCCAGATTATCTTCTTCTGCCTGCAAGTTTCTCCCCACCCCACAGTCAGGTGAACTAAATTCAGTTTCGTTTCTGCTGGGCTTGGTGCTTTCACAATGACTCCTTGCAGAAAAACAGGGTGGGAAGGCAGGCTGGGCCACCCACAAACTTCTGGCTGCCAGGGTGGCCTCTCAAGAAGCCTGAACTCTACTGAACATCAGGAATCTGGCCCGAACTGCACAGAACTGCAGTCAACCAACCAGACTCAAATGTGCAACCTTTCAGTCCATGGACACATCAGGAACTTTCCTTTCAACATCCCTATTTACTCTTTTTAAACTCTGGACACTCTTCCAATTCTTTTTCATAAGAGCCCCACCATTTCTCCCCTTTACTTGCCCCTCCAACACATTCCCCCTTCCACCCATCAATTTCCTCACTGCCCCCCAACTTTGCTACATTCCCATCCCAAGGACACCCTGATCCACTATGTTTAGCTCCTCACCTTCACTTCCCCCCCTCAGGCCACCTGCTTTCCTCCCTCCCAACCTCTACTCTAGCACTTCACCAGCCCTACAGGTGCTCACCTCCACTTCCATTCACCCCTTACAGCTGACACCCCCAACTTTTCTTTGCCCCACACAAGCTCCCTTCATGCTCTTCCCTAAACACACCTTAGTGAGTGCTTCCTGTCCTCCTCCTTCTCCAGTCCCTTTCCACTTCAGTACCCTGCTGCACTTCCTATTTTTGCTTTTTTATAACAATAAATCTTGTATTAGTTTTTTGCGAACCACCTTGGCTGCTTTAAGAGAAAGGCAAGATACTAAAATGTCAGTAAATGTGAGATGCTGATAGTTTCCTCCTCTCCACACCCCATGACTTAAGCCCCCCCCATCAGTTATTACTCCTCACTGTTTCCTCCCAAGCAAGCAAACGCCCCCATTTCCTTCCCACACTCATTCTAAGAAAGCCACACCTCAACTTCAGTGTATGTAATTAGAATAATTTTATTTTAAATGTTGCTTTTCTCTTCAGCCACCCAGGAAATATTGCTGGGGAGTTTCCCAGTCTGTCAGCTTGCCTGACTGGCTTCAACTAGCAGTCAGGCACTTGGTGTCAATAGGTCCCAGGCAGTGGGGTACACTTCCAGAAGATTAGGCAGGCATCCTCTTGAAAAACTGTTTTATGCCAATGGGCCTCTGCAGAGGCTTTTATTTTCTTAAAATGAAGCAGCCATTGTTATGGCTATTCTGTATTTTTTATCTCTTCCATAAATGTTGTTGCATCTGTCTCTGGTATTTTGTATCTGTAAATAGTTCCCACAAAAAGGCCGCCCAAATGTGGCCCATGGCCTTCTGCTTCAGGCTTTCCTCACAGGATAAATGAGTCTTTACCAGTTTGTTAGGCCTATGGTCCTTTCTTGAATGTACTTCCTGTTTTTTTTGTATATGTTTATCATCTTCATTGAAAACAGCTTCTGTTTCATTTATTTAATGAGGCATCATCATAGCTCAAGGACACATTCCAGCCAGGCGAAGAACACATAAGCATGCAAAAGTCAGAGCCTGGGAAAAGGGGGTGTGATCTCAAGAAAAGGCACAATCCCCCCACCCTACATCATCATCATTATGGACAGAAGCTAGCTTGGGCTGCTTTGGGGGCAAGTTATAATCTCCCCCAGCCCTTATTTGTAGATCCCTTCTGGCTTTCTTCTTCCCTTGACCTTTTCCCATCCCCAATGAAGGGTGCCAATCTGGGATTAAGAGGGGGCGTGGCCCCCAGAACAGACTCCTCCCGCACTAGTCATTATTATTATGGCTGTCTAGAATAAGAAATGATTCATCATTTCTTCCCCAGCCCTCTTTCAGGCACCCCTTCCATTTACTCTCCCCCCCCCGCAAAAAAATTATGACCCTGCAAAAAAGGGTGCCAACCTGGTCCCGTCGAGGGCAGTGCGCGGCCTAAAAAAACTGGCACCACGCCCACCTCCTACGGCTCTTGTAAGCCGCCCTGGCCCCTTTCCGGGGCGGCTTGCAATAACCTCGACACCATGATTAAGCGGCGAAGAGGCAACCCTCTTGCCCCTCATCTCCCCACTTCCTCCAACCCCCTCCCTCCCACCTTGGCCCAACTGCGATTCCAGCCCCCGCGGGGGTGGGGTTGGGCTAGATGTCCTCGGGGTTCCCCCTCCGCTCCCATCACCCACCTTGGAAAGCCAGCTGGTGCTTGTCGAGGATGTTGTCCCCGACCCGCCGGAGGGTCTCCAGCGCCTGCGCGGCGCCCGGCGAGGCGGCGGCCTCCTCCTCCTCCTCGTGGGTGGTCCCCAAGCGGCCCAGGAGGCCCTTCAGGATCTTCTTCCCGCCGCCGCCTCCCGACGGGCCTTTGGCGTCGCCGTCGCCCGAGGCGGCCTCGCGCAGGTACCGGCTCACCAACTCCAGCGTCACTTTGCGCAGGTCGTCCGGGGCGGACGCCACTGTCGCCACCACCCGCCGCGTCGTCGTCGTCGCCCTGCGCGGACGGGATGGACTCCAGCGAAGGGGTGGGCGAAGGCAGGTCTCCGGCCTGGGCGGCCTGGGCCTCGGCCTCGTCGTCGCAGCCGTCCAGCTCTCCCTCAGGGAGCGCCAGCGCCAACGGCCGCGCGGCGCCGCCGCCAACGGCCGCCGCGGCGGGGGAGCCAATCAGCGCGCGGGGCGCTACTTCGAAGGGCCCAATCCGCGCCAGGGGCCCCGCCAGGGGCGCCCCTGAGCCAATCCGCGGCAAGGGCCCCTCAGGGAAGACGCTGGCCCCCCAGCCGCGCCCAATCCGAGGCGAGAACGGGCCGGCGCCCTCAGAGCGGCCGTTGGCGGTGAAGACGGCGGCCGCCGCGGCTGAGGCGGTTGGGGCTCCACTACTGCTGCCGCCTCCGCCGGCCCCCGGGGAGACCGGCGTGGCGGGCGCCATGCTCGGTGCGCCCCCACAATACAACACCACCGACTTCTTGTTAAACATGGCGGCCTCCTCGCAGCTTTCCGCGAACTCCGAAGCTCGTCGCGCAGAGCTGTGAGAGGGGAGCGGCGGCGGCGGGGAGGGTCTTATAAAGGCTCTGACGCGCTGGCGTCAGAAGGGACGTGGCATACGACGTGGGCTCGAGGCAGTGACGCGGAGGGGAGGGGAGGTGGGCGTGGCTAAAACAGGCCACCATAGACGTTTAAAGGGTAGAAGAAGGAGGAGCCCGCTTTTGTATAGGGCGCTTCTTGGTTGCTCCATTGTTCGGGGGCGGGCAGGTGGGGGCCGGTTAGCAGTAGTAGTAGTGATAATAATAATAATGATTAATAATAATGCTCAGGGCGGCTAACACCAGTAAAATTACAGTAAAAACATAATAGAGGGGAAAGCCCAATTTAAAATACAGGTTAAACTGCAATTTAAAATGCAGCCTCATTTTAAAAGTAGCCCGTAGTAGTAGTAGTAGTGATGATAATTAATAATAATAATAATAATAATAATAATAATAATAATAATAATTTTATTTATTCCCCGGCCAGAGCTGGGCTCAGGGCGGCTAACACCAATAAAATCACAGTACAAAACATAATAGGGGGGAAAGAGGGGGGGGGCAATTTAAAATACAGGTTAAAATGCAATTTAAAATGCAGCCTCATTTTAAAAGTAGACCATAGATCAAAACCATAAGGGGAGGGAAACATAAGAGTCAGATTGAGTCCAAACCAAAGGCAAACCAGGCGTCAGGGTGGTTTCCCAGGAGATTGGCCCCTTTCCGGCTGATGGTTTGTTCTTCTGTCCCCCTGCCAATCTAGTCCAGCATCCTGTTCTCACAGTAGACAGTTCCCCTAAGAGCAGGGAATGCATAGGAGATCCGTGGCCAAAGTTTTGCAGTTCTAGATTAGGGTTTTGCCATACTAGATCAGGCGGTTTTGTTTTTTTGGGGCGTTTCTAGGTTAGAGGTTTGCCATTTCAGATTAGGGTATTACAATCCTGCATTAGGGCATTGCAATTCTGGATTAGAGTTTCGTAGCCCTAGTTCTTGCAGTTCTAGATTAGCATTGTCCATTCTAGATTGGCGGATTGCCATTCCAGATTAGCGGATTGCCGTTCTAGATCAGGCAGGGCAGAAACCAGGAGCAGATGTCTGAGCAAAAAAAGCTGAGGCTGAAAGTTGAGTTCTGAAACCGAAAACTGGAACTGTAAACAAGATTCCTGGGCTGAGCCGTGTTTGCTCTCCCATATGTACTCTTTACCCTCCTTCGATTCCAAGGGTGCGTCTGACCTGTTCAGCCACTGTGCAAACACTTGGCTTCGGTTTCTGGATTCTGGGAATCTGGTGGAAACAAATCTCCAAAGCATGAAATCTGCACAGCCATGCTGTGGGCACCGAGAGAGGAAAAAACTGGATTTCAGAGCAGCTGTGATTTGGGATACCAGGGAGCCTACCCACAAACCATTGGCAAAGAGAAAACAAATGGAAATAGCCAAGCAACAACCCTTTAAAAACCTCTGTCTTATTTTGTGTGGAATGTGTAATTTTTAAATGTGCAGCCCATTGCCCATATATTTCAGGTGGGCTTACAACGCCCCTGCTGTGTAGTCCAGCATTGCAAGAACTTGGAAAGAGAGAAAACCTTACAACAGTCCTGCAATGTTGTCCATTGCTATGACTCCCATATTGCAGATTGGGGCCTTTCTGTGCTGCTGCGACTGAAAGAGAGAGCAGTTTACAACAGCCCTGCAATCCAGTCCAGTGCTTAAAAATCGCAAGGCTCATCTGGAACTGGATATGGAGTTATGGGACAAGACCACCCATGTAAAGCACCCCCTCAGCTCGCAGCAAAGTCTTTCTCTGTTCAAACTACCACGGGGTGTCTTCCTCCCTGGGCCAAATCCAGCGCTTGATTTCATGCAGAAACGTCACCCTTAGTTGACTCACTTTGAAACTGACAGGTTACAATGACCTGCTGATATGAACAGGTTTTCAACACTGAGGCTGTAACCCTTATACACATTTGTGTGGGAGGGAGTTTTATTGAGGTGAAGAGTGTTCACCTCTGAGTAAGAACAGGAAAGAGGCTTACAGCATCTTAATGGAGTTAACCAATTTTTATTATGGCATCAGCTTCCGTGGACCAGACCCCCCTTCCTTAGAGTGCTGTTGTGCTCAGGTTGTGTGTTGAGGGTTTTGCATAATAGGCATCTGGTTGGCTACTGTGAGGACGCTGGACTATGATGGGCCCCCTTTGGCCTGATCCAGTAACCAGGCTCTTCTGACTTTCTTATGGAACCCCCAGGTCCAGAGGCAGTCTATCTAGATTCCTAGGTTCTCTGCGGCATTTGGCCACTGCGAGGACAGGATGCTAGACTTGACAGGCCCCTTTGGCCTGATCCTGTTGCGGGGCTCTCCAATCCACAAAAGCTGATGCCGTCATAAAATGTATCAGCCTTTAAGGTTCCACGAGATCCTGTTGTTTTTGCTCCATCAAACCACCATTGTCCAGAAATTGTTTATTTTGAGGAGACAGGTACAGGATGGGGCTATAAATGCCACACTTAAGACCTGGGTTAGGAAGAGGAAGAGCTCTTTCTAACATGGGGTAAGGTAAAGGTACCCCTGACCATTAGGTCCAGTCGTGACCGACTCTGGGGTTGCAGCGCTCATCTTGCTTTATTGGCCGAGGGAGCCGGCGTACAGCTTCCGGGTCATGTGGCCAGCAGGACTAAGCTGCTTCTGGTGAACCAGAGCAGCACACGAAAACGCTGTTTACCTTCCCGCCAGAGTGGTACCTATTTATCTACTTGCACTTTGACGTGCTTTCGAACTGCTAGGTTGGCAGGAGCAGGGACCGAGCAACACCCCGTGGCAGGGATTCAAACCGCCAACCTTCTGATCGGCAAGCCCTAGGCTCTGTGGTTTAACCCACAGTGCCACCGGTGTCCCGCGGTACTCTCCTATAAATCCATGGACTCAAAAGTTACTCATGGCCACCAGTGATTTCAGTAGGTGTCCTCCCAACACTAAGCAAAATTGGCCTACCAAAGCAATTATAGCCCGTTAGCCAGTGTGGTGTAGTTGTTAAGAGCATCAGACTAGGACCTGGGAAATCTGGGTTCAAATCCTCACTTGCCCATGGAGCTCCCTGTGGGTGACCTTATGGCAGCCACCACCTCTCAGCCTGACCTACCTCACAGGATTGTTGTGAGGGTAAAATGCAGAGTGGGAGAACAGTCACTGTTATAAGAATTTTAAGGTCTTATATATCTCTAATAAATGTTCATAAATGTACCAAGCAAACACATATATAAATATATAAACCACATGTCCGAAACCCATAGGAAAAGTCCTAAAGCCATTTTGACTCTTTCAGTCACCTCAAATATTTCTCTGCAAGGTCGAAGGAAACGCAGAAACCTCCCCATTGTCTCTGTCCTCACAAATCCTGCCTTAAGGGCACATTTAAGGTGTGAATAGGGTGAGCCTGTGACCTGGCTCAGGAATTAAGTATTATTTTTACAAAAGAATGGCCAGGCTGCACAGGTAATCCAGTCAAGTGACCATTAACAGGTAACCTGGCAGACAGGGTAACAACAACGCACTCAGATTTCTGTTGTAGACCGCCTTTTCTGTGATGTAGGTATGATGTTTCTGGGGGTGGTCTTGGACTCCAGGGCGGGTAATTTAAAATGTCTATATAAGGGCAGGCACACCTTTGTTCTGGGTCCTCTCTCCTGCGTGTGGGGAGTGAGGACCCTGTTGCAACAGTTAATAAAGATCAGGCTTATTAGCGGCTTTGCTTCTCAATATTCTCTGGTTGGTCTCTGTTATTTTCTCCTACCGATAGAGAACCTACAAAAGGACTCTATATGGGCTTTTGGGTACCCCATAAGGGAAAAGGAGCAGTTGTTGTTTTTTACTTATATCAATCACCTTGGGCTCTTTGGAGGAAAGGTAGGTTAGAAATGTAACAATAAATAAAATTAAGGAAACGAAATAAAATGTTGGAGTCCCTCCCCCACCGGTTGAGTTTGATGGGTAGTGCTCACTTCTCCCTCCGCCCGCCCCCCCAGAAAGAAAGAAATGGTTCAGTCTACAATTTAACATACGGTATCTGTGTTGAACACTGAAGCAGCGAGGCCACAGGAGAGGTGGGAAGGATCAACAGCTCCATGGAACTTAATGGAGGAAGGCGGAGCCAAGCTGGAAAGGGAGGAGTATCTGTTTGGGGGGGGAAAGCTCAATGGGTGAAGGATTTGGGTTTTTCCCTCTCTCATCAATGGAAAAGCGAAGAGAGATCTTGAAGGAGAATAGGAAGTATCTGTGTGTGTGACTCACCCCTGGAGAATGCAGAATGCTTTGTTATGTAATGCTTTCTCAAGGGGGGGGGCAGAGAGGAGAAGGGAAACAAGGTCTCAAAAAGAGGAAGGGGGGGAACTTCCCCTAGAGACCGAGGAGAAGAACAAACATTGGAAACTTCCAGCAGCTTCCCGAAAGGTCTATTTTCAGCACCCGATAAAAGGAAATGATGCATTTTAAAGAAAAGCGCACTTTAATGTGTGTGCCATAGGGTCTTGGTGGATGCAAGATCCTCTAAGACTATGAGGACATCAGAAGAACACATCCCACAGTCCCTTATACTCCAGCATCCTGTCCTTTGCGCTTGGGATCTTTGAATTCTACTTGAACAGGTGTGCCGGCATCTCCCTTACCTGAAACCATGGAGAGCAGCTGCCAGCCTGTGCAGGCGTTACTGAGGCAGATGGACCCATGGTCTGACTTGCACTTTGGCAGTGGCAGGCCCCTTCCTTTCCCCCTGTTTAAACCGGCTCTCTCTATCTCTAGAACCATGAGGAATAGAAGCTTATCTTTAGGCCAAGGGCTGCAGCTCACTTGGTAGAGCAGATTAGAGCAAGCCGGGAGCACGCAGGTTCAATCCTCAATATCTCTAGGCAGGGCTTGGAATATCTACCATCTGAAAGCCCAGTCGCTGCCATTCAGTGTGGACAGCCCTGAACTCTGTGGATCTGAACGCAGCTCTGTTTAGGGAAGCTTTTAATGTTTTAACAGACTATTGTATTTCAAT